AATTAACTGTCGCAGGGATGAAAAGATGCTCGCAGAGCGGCAGAAGTCTGATCGCTGTCAGGGCGTCTCACACAGTAAGATTTGTAGCTCCAGATTTAGTTCTGAAGATTAAAACTGTCTGTGGGTGCTAAAGATGACAGAGAATGAAGGATTCTTCCTCCAGTAATTACATCAACACCTTTTATTTTGCTTCGATTAGTCGAAAATCGTTTTCATGTTAAAGAAATGGCAGAAAATGCAGTTTTTAGCCTCTCAAATATGAAGATTTACTCCTTTTCTCTGTTTTTCATCATGTTAAACTGATTATCTTTGGGTTTATCTTTTTAAAATTTTTCACTATTTTCTATAGATTTTATAGATCAAACAATGCCAAAGGAACCTCTATTGTAATTATACATTTCAAGGACAAATTATTTTATAATAAAGGGAGAATAAATTACGTAGATGTTAAAATATACCAGTCTAACCAAAGAGGGGAATGTATGGAAGCCCATTATCTCAAAATAATGACCCAGTGTCTTAAAATAATGAGTAGAAAGTAGAAAACAAATGAGGTCAGAACGTTGCGTCTTGCCTTATTGAGATCAATAAATAGACTATTAGAGGGTAGCCCTGTTTCCAAACATTCTTATTACTTGTGCCAAATGTTGTGCAACTTATACATCCCTCAGAAAAACTCCAAGAACCTACGTGCGGACACTTACAGGTAGAAAGTGTATCAAGCTTGTCCTGACGCTCCAGATGTATAGCAAAGGTATCATCAGGACCGGTGTATAGGATGTAGTGGCATCTGTAGTAGTGAAGTTGCAGATAGCAACCAACCGAATATCACTCCCCTTTCAAGCGTGTAGGAGAAATGAAACGGTGGCCGCAAAACTCTGTGAAAGGCCCCATCTAGAGCCAGTGTTTGGTTTGTCCATTCTGGGCTACTGTAGAAAAATTCAACATGGCGGACTTCACCAGAACAGGAGCCGCTCCCTCTGTAGATAAAATGTCTCATTCTAAAAGGTAACAAAATCACTTATTTCAGGTGATTAAAACACTATAAAACATACCTATGAATATTATATTTCTGCCAATAGATCCTCCTTAGTGTAACAAACTGGACCTTTAAGAAACTCCTAAAACTCCTCTTGATTACTATTTTTTTAATCCAAGCCCTTTAAGGTATTTGTGGCAACCCTGAGTTTTAATCCAGGACCCCTCAGAGTCTCCTTGTTTCCTAAACCTGTAACCTTGGCAGTGTCAGTGCCTCACTCTGAGCTCTGTGTCGGCATCTGTCCAACAACCAGCAAACAGCAGCTCGGAGCTACAGATGCTCGTCTGCTGTCACTGAGCTCCTCGACTCAAAGCAAACAGCGACAGGCCGCCGCCACCGCCACAGAGGAATGAAACTCGGCACTTTTGAAGGTTTCCACGGCTGCTGAGTTTATAAATTAATATTCATAAAACTGTGGAGCTCCACCACCTCCCCCCACACAATCCCCTGCTGATCCAAGATGGCTGTCATCAAACTCTTGAACGTAAAGCGAGCCAGGAGCTGGGGGCTCTATTCATTTCTTGTGACGGAGATTTATAACCGGCGGGAAAAACATTTTCCTCCTCGTCCTCAAGAAAATGATGTTCTGCAGGAAATCAGTTGTGAGGCAGCTCAGAGGCAAATGGTTCTGTTCACAGCCGAACATAAAATCAATCAGGTTCGTAATGGTCTGCACTGAGAGCGTGACAAACAGCCGTGGCGGCGCTCAGCTCTCTGACACAATCATTTTCCTTCGCCAGCACGCACTGGAAATGAGAGGTGTTCTGTAAATAAGATATTACTCTATGGACTGGCATATTCCCTTGAACAATTTTCCTTTAAAATGAGTGCCAATTATAAGCAAGGAGTCAGCCTCCCCCTGCAGTGGAGCTGTATCACATTTGAAATTTAAATCCAAGGCGATATTCTTGGCGGATGATAGCTGTGGCTTTGAGGGATTTTTAACTAAATCCCAGGCAGTGAGGAGAGTCGATACAGATCTGTTTCACGTGGGGAGGACTGAACTATCTGTTGCTTTGAGAAAGGAAAAATCCTCCCCTCCAAAAGGGTTGCCAGGTAAACAGGCGGAAGACAAACAGACGAAAAGATGAGGAGTGGGAGGAAGGGTAAATCTAAATGTCACAGTGAAAGAGCCTCCATTTCCATTTTTTAATCTGTATATCCTCAGTGCACAGCCTCAGATTAGGTACAATATGTAATTTCTGCCACTGAGGGGTCTCTCACATCAAAACAATAAGAAAAGTGGAAGTTTGATAAGGTGGTGAAGCAGCGTGGGATCATGGGAGTTGTCTTCACCACTATTGCAGTTATTGCAGTCAGTTTCTCCTGGTTAGGAATTACCTCAGTGTTCATGGTTCAACAGGAAAGGACTGTTGAAACTGAACTTTATGGTGTTGATGAATCTTGTGAGTTTTTGTTGAATGCCGTTTCCTCCTCCTACAGAATTGATTTGATTGTCCTCAAATTTGGTCTGAAGACTTTCACAATGAAAAGTTATCAAAAGCTAAAATCGTAGGTAAAATGTGGCTTCGACTGGATACAACAGTCAATGTATCGACAAACTTCTCCTCTGGCCGTCAACCCACAACGCTGACGCAGCGGCACAAAGGGGCCTATGATGCCCATCGCAGGCGACGGTGAAACGCAGTGTTCCTAAAATGACTGTGAGTTTTCGAACTTTGGAACGTTGTTGGAAACATTTGGATAATCGTAAGAATTCAACTACATATAGAACACAGAGCTAGAGTTTACAGACAGCTTTAAATGAGCTGCTGTTTTCACTGCCAAGACTTTCAGAAGCATCCCTCTTCCCTTAAAAAACAAAACAGAGTCCCTAAGAGAAGGAAGGGTAATTATGGAAGTGGGTTTGTCCTCCTGTCACCAGCCTGTGTCCTCCACAGGCTGCACAGCAAACACCTTAAATGAACAGACTGACAGCGCGATCAGACAGCTCAGAACGGGAGTCAAATCTGTCAATTTTCCTCGTGTGAAATCTCACTCTTGTGGGTCTCGCAGCAGCCGGCGGGACTGAGGCGTCTCCAGTTTGAACAGGTTGAATCATTGCGTGTGACTTTCACAGAAACAGAGCGGTAATGGAACAGCAGACGTCTGAGAGCGAGGACATCTGAGGGGCCCCGTTCAGACGGAAACACTTACAGTAAATCTCAGGCGAGGTTTGCCTAATGAGCGGTGACAGCTCGTCCACAATGAGCTGCAGCGTACCTGCTTGTTTCTCGCTGTTTCCCCATTATGTTCAGTTCGCAGCTGGCGTCGGTTCAGGTGCACTGGAAGCATGTTGGTGACATAAAGTGTGTGATGTCAGCCCCTGCTGCACCGCCGAATGGGAATGTGCTGGAAAATGAACTCATGTCTGTAACTGCAGCAGGGTGGGAGCAGTGCAGGTGCTTTTTGTAATGAGAAAAAACACAACAAAACTCTTGAGTCTCACAGAAACACCTGTTTGTTAGCCTGAAGGCTCAGACAGTGTAGAGGTATGACGGCAGCTTGCGATCAGAGGTGCAAAAGTAAATAGTTTAACATTCACAGTGGATGTGCTCAACTGGCACATCCTCAGGTGACTCATCACCCCCAGGGAAAGAGCAGCCTTGATTCTCCCAAAATCCAATATATGACGCCGTCCTCAAGTTCACGCGTGATCAACTATCCACTATGTTTCCTGAGTGTAAGCGTCTGATATTGAGGAATACCGTTTCCTGCCGCACGAAAGAAGACGACCGAGGCTGTGTATTGCAACTGGGGGCACCAAATCGCACAAACACCAAATATTACATAATGTTGCTTTAAAAATACGTTTTTTCTAAATACTCCAGGAGCTTCTGATGGGCTGGTTCGACCTGTTCACTACAGTGCCGGTCGTTGTCTGTCACCAGAACAGAAAATGTGTTTCTGGCTCTGAGCTCGGGCTCATCAAGGTGAACGTACTGAAATATCACTGCCTGGCTTTGACAGTTTGACAATGAAAAAGAAATAATTTATATGATCTCCCTGTAGCCCTGAAAGGCTAGATACAGCCGGGTCCTATTGTTCCCACATCACTAAGCTTTCAACAGCAGTTGTCCGTTTGGATAAACATGGTTGTTGGTTTTCACCCTCACTCCTTCAAATTTAACTCACCTTATTTTTGCTGTTCAATTTACAGTCATGGATAAACATATGCGAAATACATAGAACTGCATGAAGACTTCCAGTCCATAATGTTTCTTTCTTCTTCAGTCAAGTAGAAGAACAGATACTTGTCTCTGAAATATTTATCAAAGTACAAAAAGTACAAAGTACTCTTGGTTTCTCTTTCTACCAGCTTTTTCTGTGCAAATCTAACTGAAACTTCAAACAGGGTTGAGTCTCTCTTCGTCTTTTTCGTCGCATTATGTCTGTCATGCGTGCGCTAATGGTTGTGTTGTAGCTAAGCTAACGGCTCAGAAAGGCTAATTCTCTGGTATGTGTGTGTGTCTGTGGGTGGACTGTCAGTGTGGGATCAAGGCAAAGATTGTCCAAACCACCACGGCAGAATATAAAAATATTAAGTAGAGGGTTAGCAACAACTAGCGTAAACTGCAGTGAATGATGCGTCTCCATCAGTATACATTTGAAAATGAGCACAGCGGGTTCACAGACTCCCACTCAGAGCGGAGTCTGGGGGAGGTGGTCCTCCTCTGATTAGAGGGAGTTAACTCTCACTATAGCAATGTGACTTAAAGTAGTCCCAAACAGTTGATTCTGTGTCAGCATTTGACTTAAAACATACAGGGTCATTTAAATCAATAGAGGGCGTGTCGGGACATTTTCAACCTGATGAAATGCTGACGTCAATATTTCATACAATTCATTTTACAGCTCAAAAAAACGTGTTTATGTGTGCTGTACCTCTTTAAATAACTTAACTGATGTCATGTTGTGTACAGTTTTGTAAAAAAAAAAACAGATTTTCTTAAGGAGGAACTCACAGGACGGAGACAATGTCGCCTCGTTGGACCTGGTAGTTTCTCACGCTCCAACGGTTCAGCAGGACAACGTCACAGTCCGATCCCCCGTCTGGGTTCAGGAAGGGCTGCTCACACACACACACACACACACACACACACACACAAATACAGTTCATATACATACGAGCAATTTACACATTTACATAAATACACACATTTGTCATCAATCACTGTCAAGTACATGCTGTGCAAACAGGAACCCATTCACAATGTATTCCTGGGTACTATTTGTTTACAATTTACAGAAATATTTGACTTGTGTATAGAAACTCTCTGTTGTTGGTCATTGTTGCCTTTATATACGTTTATATTTAGATATATTTTTTGTTGTCCTTGTTTTTAGCTGTATGTCTCTTTCTGTCTGTTTTTCTGCTGGAGCTGTGTAACATTGAGAAATCACGGTCAGATCCCTGCACTGTATACAGGAGACATCCCACTCTCGCCCACTATATGAGCACATACAGTGAGTACAGAGACACATGAAGTGTTGAGCAGCGGTGAGTCAGCGTAATAGAGCAGAAACAGTCTAAATATAGTTTGGTCAAAAGGTTGAAAACACAAAAACACACACACACACACACACACACACTTTCTATACTCTACATACTTGTACAGCTGTGGTTTGCAAACTTTTTACAGTGTGACAATATGAGGCTCTCCAAGTATCACGATGTTGACCGACATTTCTCCGTCATTTTCCAAGAAAACAATTGCAGATCTACATAATGTTTGTAACACACATATTGTGGACTGTTACAATACAGATTCAGAAAGAAAAATGTTAATCTGTTGCTTTTTCGCTGTTGCATTATATAATGTATTTCTGTAGGATAAAATGAGTAACCGCTAACAAAACTAAATATAGTATGATGCAGAAACAACTTCAACTATCAAACTGACAAAGATGTCAAATGAATTTTCAACTTATTTTTGTGATTTTTTGCGTTTTTAAAAGAAAGATCTGATTTATCTTTTAATTAAGGAATGATAAATGGCATCAGCAGTGGCGGTTTGGTTGCTGAAAACATCCCTGAATGATGTCTGATTGGGTCTGATTTTAAGGGGCTGAGCCACATTGTTCAAATCAACGGCATTCAGAAGATTTCGTCTTCAACAACGGCCGGCTACTAAAAACGACCGGAAAGCTAGCTCCTTCAAACCTCAAGGATTATTAGCAGTGATCAGTCCACAGCTGGCCTACAGTATCCAGCACACAAAGACTCCTGTCAAATACATTAAAAGTGATTTTATCAGTCTGTACACAAGGTAAAAGTGCCCTTTTTTAACATCCACGATCTGTCATCATCTTATGACACAGCAGTTTGAGGAGTGACCGTTCTCTTCCCGTTCAGAGGTTCTTCGGCACTGGAGATTTCAGAGTCAGCGTCCTTTTTAACTGTATAATTATTCATCACAGCTTCTCAGCATTAATGTTGCAATGGCCCATTAGGTTGCCCTTTCAGTAGAGAAAATGTGGCAAAGTGCTCTCTAGGTTGCTCTTCCAGCAGACAAAACACAATAAAGTGTCCTCTAGTTCTAATCTGACTCCGGTTTTACGTTGCTCTCAATATACAAACACAGATCAACCATAAATAAATAAGACAACAAGCTCAACAAAATAGATATAAGCTGCTATGTGTACAGTAGTGCAATGCTGCAGAGTACAAAGGATGCTGGAATAAATATTTACATGCAGGTATTTTTATGTACATGAGGTAGGTAGCAGCAAAGCTAGAGCGGATTGAATAATGGTATTTATGTTTAAATAAAGAAACTGCATTTCAACAATGAAGAAAAATATTTAGTAGTGATCATTTTTTAAACCTTCAGATATCAATTTCTGTAAATTCAGGTATCAGTCGTCCAGTATTTAAGTTATTAAACAAAATCTGTAACAAATAGGATCAAATCTGCAATACAACAGTTTTTTACAACTTCAAAGTGCATTCAAAGACCATTTATCACTTTTTGGTCCTCCCTCCTTTAGTGATCCGCGTGATTAAAATACTTCCTATAAAATTAAACTGTTGCTGCGTTACACAACTCTGAACAACCGTGTCCTCCGTGACAGCTCTATCACACGCTTGTCTACGATGCCCCCACTTCCTTCCCTCCTCAACAGCAACAACAACCATAAAAATCATCATTCTTACGACTCGCTTTGTCGAAGGATCCCCGCGTGACGAAGCCTGCTCACGTCGGCGAGCGACACCACGACTGTTTCATTAAACAGGATGCGTGCAGGCCATTTCACGCTTGCCGCGGTAATTGACAGAATATCTCTTATCTATCTGCCCCAAAATAAATATCCCCGTGAGTGCTGTCAGCCTGCGAGTTTATCAGATAGAGTTGGATACTTCATCAGCCTCCCTCGCAGTCATATTTCCGTGTTTTACAGGCTGGATTGTTTCTGAAACTGCTGCTGCGGTCAGTCTGGATGTACAGGAAAGTGTGACAGTTCGGCGGCGGCAGCACATTGTCTGATCATTCATTCAGTTTTTATAGAGATAATGCAGGAGTTTGAGAAACTATGAGTGTAGAAGTTTTCACAGAAACGATGACAGTGTAAAACCACTTCTCCCAGTGTGCCCACCTCTGGAAAAGTGAAAATGAACCCCCTTGAGTCTGCGAGGCCCATCTGTGGGTTCATCATTAAAAATGCAAAGAGCTTGTTCAAACCCACCGGACTGTAGTTTACACAAATATCTGTACGTTTACAGGGATTTTACTGTTTGTTTGTTTGTTAAGCTGATTTATAGCCTACTGTTTATTAGTTATTTAGCATTATATATATGTTTTTATATATATATATATATATTTATTTATATTTATATATATATATAATAGGGAATATTAAGGTATCGACTACTAAAATTCTGCTATCATGTCATCCCTACTGCCTTTTCATTTTGGCTAACCCTATTAGCAAGAGGTGGGCTTTTCTACTTCCTTCCTGTTTTGATGCTGTTTGATATAGGTAAGCTAGCTAGTTATCTGTTGGACTGTGAGAGAGCTACAGAGCAGCGGTGTAGAGGGGGAGGGGGAAAACCCAAGTAAACTTATTCATCACCTCTTTGTAATGAACCTGAGTTTACTCATCTAGAGCTGGACAATCATATTTGATCCCGCGGACGCAGCCTCCACAGGGACGCTCTTCGTCGCGCCTGTAAGGATATTCTCTGTGTGATCGGCTCCTTTCTACATTAGAACAGACGCCTAAACAAAACATGTTTATTACAGATTTATGACTAGAAAGACCTGACACACCACACAGTGCTGAGCTGCATCTCAAACTAATCTTTAGGTTCCCAGCAGATGATGTAAACGATGATCACACTTTAGCTTCAAGTATTCACAGCAGCACGTAGCTTCAGTTCAGTGTTAGAAGAGGCAGATGAGCAGCGACGAACGAAAAGAATCAATTACAAACAACAACAGAAGATGATTAAATAAAGACATTAACATTAATACGCCCACAGTTTATGAAGCTCCTCTATCAGATCAGGAGTTCAGAAGATCAATAAGATTAACATTACATCACATTCATGAAGCTCAGCTCATAATCACAGGCTTGATCCCGTATGCTCTTTTTTTTATACATCAATTAAGAACTCAAACGGTACATATTCATAAGCATCTCTGGAGCTCAGAAAACACAGTTTCCATGACAACAACCCAAGCCCTGCTTAAAAGATGAAGGAAAGCACACACACACAGTCGTCTGCCTTGCTGTGTGTGTGAGAGTGTTTTTGGTCTCTCGTTGCTCGGTGATGAACCTGCTGCTAAAATGTCTCAAAACAATCAACTCTCAACTGTGCAGTCAATATGGAGCTACAGTTAGCAGCCAGTTAGCTTAGCCTATCACAAACACTGAGAAAGCTCTGTCCAAAGTATGAACCAATCCTGACGCCACCCATCGGTTTGTGGAGTCGCGTTTTGAAGCTTCGAGTTTGGCATTCTGCTCAGTTTCAACTCGTCTGTATCAGGAAACAA